GCTTTCTGTCTCTATGTCTCTCTCTGTCTGTCTGGCAAGCGTACGCGCCCTATAGCGACAAACCTCTCAAAAAAAAAATGTATTTGTTATTCCTCTCAGATTCCTGGCACACAGCTCCTAAATTCTTTATAATTTCCTGAGTAATAGGAAGCATACCTGTTATAATACTAGGTTTTCATACAGAGCTCCTAAAACACTTGATATTTCCTAAATGGTGGAAGTGTCTTTGTTATTCATACATAACAAGCCCTTTGGATCACACCTAAGTTTATGCTAATGAGGTAACTTAGGGTAGGTCTCTTAGATAGACTCTGATTGAGGTTCACCAGAAAGACCACGTGATTAGAGGATTAGGTCTCAGGAACAGGAGGGAATAAAAGGGAGTAGGGCTGGAGATTAAGCTTTAGCAAAGCTCCTGAAGAATTCTGGTGGCTTCTAGATTGGCAAAAACATCCGTGTGCTGCTCTCACCCTGAGAATAGAAGTTCCCAGGACCCCTCACCCTATGTAACTCTTAATCTCATCATCTAGATCATTTATAATGAATGGGTAAATTTAAATACAGTGTTTCCCTGAGTTCTGTGGGCCTTTGTAGCAAATTATCAAATCCAAGGGGCAGGATCATGGGAACACGGATTGATAGCCACTGGTTTAGAAGCACAGGGCACAACCTGCGACTTCTCTTGGTGTCTGAAATGGGGATAGTCACGTAAGCTGTGTCCTTACCTGTGTGATCTGAGACTATATTCAGGTATATAGAATTGAGTTGAGTTATAGGCTATCTAGCTTATTTCCAGAGGGCTGGGGAATTGCTTGGCATGTTGAGGGAAACAAAACACAGATCTACTCACAGAAGTGAGCTGTATCCTGGGTATGGTAGGAGAAAACTGTTTTTATCAGAGTCGATGTCAAGTGTTATATGCAAGTATAAAGAAACTTTCTTTTTACAGAGTAACCTTTCTTTTTCAGAGTAACCTTTATTTATTTATTTACTTATTTATTTATTTTTTTAGAGAGATTTTTGCTATAGGCCACGTGTACTCACCAGAGAGACAGAGATAGAGAGACAGAAAAAGAGAAATCACCCCCCACGGAGGATGGCCATGCTACAGTTCTTTCTCTATTGTCTTCTTGGAATTTTGAGCCTGCACACACAGGCACCCAGCATGAGTTTTAAGACACCGAATCCAGGACTTGAACTGTGGTAGATATGTGTGAATACAACAACATAACCATTAAGCCATCTGCTGGTCTCCAGAGTAACCTTTTTATATTGCCTTTGACTTAGAAATATTCATGTAAGATTCCTATATGCCTTTTTTTAAAAAGATTAATTTAATTTAATTTTTTTTTTTGCTTTGCTATAGGGCACGTGTGCTCACCAGAGAGAGAGAGAGAGAGAGAGAGGGAGAGAGAAAGAGAGAAAGCAAGCCACCAGATCTGGGACTTGAACCATGGTCGGCCATGTGAGAGTCCAATGCCTTAACCACCACGCCACCTGCTAGCCTCCTACAGGTCTTTTAATTGCCTGATAACCTCATTTCTCTTTTCACTGAATACTATTTGGTTGTACAGAGGTACCATAGTTTGTTTCCTCACTTATTGGAGGACATCTTGGTTGCTTCCACATTTTGCCCGTTAAGAATAAAACTGCTATAAACATCCCCGTGCAGCTTTTTATATGGACATAAATTTTCAGTTCATTTGAGTAATTGCCTGAGAATGTGATTATTAGATCAGATTATAAAGAATGTTTACCTTTGTAAGAGACTGTCCAACTCACTTCCAAAGTGGCTGTACCATTTCATATCCCCACCTGTAATGAATGAGGGCACCTGTTGCTCTACATCCTCACCAGCATCTGATGCTGGAGTTTCAGATTTTAGCTACTCTGACAGGTGTGTGGTGATATCTTTATTTGCAGTTATTAACTTGGTGTTTTGCATCTGTTAAAAAGAAATTTAGATAGGGACCAGCAGTTGGCGTAATGGCTATGTTGCTGAACTCCCATGTAGTCGACTGCAGCTTGAGACCCGGACCCAGTGGCTTAAACTCAAGCACGGTGCGTGTGCGTGCGTGCCCAAGATCTCAAAATGACAATGGATGAGAAGGGATTGTGGCATGGCCATCTCCCTGGGGGGTGATTTATTGCTTTCTGTTTCTCTGTTTCTTTCTGTCTCTCCGGTAAGTGCATGCACACTATCGCAAGAAAAAAAATCTTAAAAAAAAAATTAGATAAATCAAAATTCAATAGAGTTTATTTAAACAAAGGGCGACATCTTTTCATATGTTTATTTTACATCCATATATCTTATTTAATGACATATCTGTTTAGATCTTTATCCCATGTTGATGCCAGAACAAGCTGAGATACGCCCTTAGGAGGATCAGAAATCAGATCCGTGCCACTCACCACTTGAAAAGAGACAGGAGTTGGCAAATAAGGAAAGGAATGTTTTTCAGTGAGCTCAGCATTTTTTTAGAGAGTCCTTAACTGTCTCTGCTGTACTGGAGAAGTCACAGAACTATAGAGGAAGAGGTCATTGGGAGCATACTTCTAGAAGCAAAGGGCAAGTTACTTATTGCCTTGGGCAAGATCACAAGGAGGCCTGGTTATTGTCTTTGGGCAGAATCAGGAGGCAGTCACCAAGGGGGTAGTTTTTGTTCAGGGCAAGCAGAGCAGAATGACCAGTTTCAGTTCTCTGTAAAGGATAAGCAATGATTAATGAGACAGTGGAGCAAATTGAGCCAGTCAATGTAAGCCTTAGTTCCTGTTTTAGAAGCAGGAAGGGTTTAGGTGTGACTTTGCAATGCTTAAGCTGGTAGATCTTCTCAGCCAGTCTTATAGGAGGGGGCTGGGAGTGCTGGTTGTCTTCCTTCTCCCTATCTTCATAGCCCAGTGTCTTCAAAGACTTCAAGGTTCTTGTGAACTTTAATCATTTAAGCATTAGGCTAGATTCATGCAAGGGAGGTAGAAGGCTAAGTTCTATAAGATTCCTTTTGAGGGAAGTGAAAGAAAGTTAAAGACTGATTTCCTAAGGGTTCATCTATTAAGATGGACTCCAAGACTAAGTACAATATATAGTCACTTTGGTTCTCTTATGGCTCAGGTACAATGTTATAATTGGGTTGTTTTCTTATTATTGAGTTTTCAAAGTTCTTTGTATATTTTGAATACCAGTCTTGTACTGTATACAAGTTTTGCTAACACCTTCTTCCAGTTGCGTTGTCATTGTCTTAGCATTGCCTTTCACAGAGCAGACCTTCTTTTAATTTTAATGAAGTACAACTTACTGATTTTTTTCTTTCATGGATCAGGCTTTTGATAGTGTATCTAAAAAGTCATTGCCAAACCCTGGGTCACAAAAGTTATCGTCTAGAAATTTTATCATTTTCCGTCTTATATTTGGATCTCTCATTTATGTGAATAAGATTTTGTGAAAGATATAAAGTCTGCGTCTAGGTTCAGTTTTGTGCATGTAGCTGTCTGGTTGCTCCGGCACCATTTGTTGAAAAGGTTATCCTTTCTGCACTGAATTGTGTTTGTTCCTTTGCCAAGGATCTGTGTGGCTTTTCTTTCTCAGTACTACACTGTGTTCCATTACTGCAAATTTAAAGTATGTCTTACAGTCCAGTAGTGTCAGTGTTCATCTTAGTCCTTTTCTTCAGTGTCGTGTTGGCTATTCTGTATACCTTGCTTTTTCAAATAAACTTTAGAATCAGGCTGCCAGTATATAAGAAACAGCTACGCTAGAATTTTGATTGGGATTCTGATTGACTCTATAGATCGTAATGACAAAAACTGACATCTTTACAATATAGTAGATCTTTCTACCTATACACATGAGCTCTTTCTCCACTTACTTAGATCTTTGATTTCTTAGAGTTTTAACAATCTCCTTATATAGAGCTTTTATACACATTGTTAGATTTATACCTAAGTATTTTATGTTGTTATAATTTTTTTTTAATTCCTCGTAGGTGTCTCTCAGAGGTACACCTTAGAGACCATTATAAGAGAACAAATCTCTCAAAAAAAGTAGGTCACACACACTTTTTAGTTTTCTAATGCATATAAAAGTTATGTTTATACCATACTAGAGTATATTAAGTGTATGATAGTATTATTTCTGAAAATATAAAAACTATATACCATAATTCAAAATACTTTATTACTCAGAAATGATAATGATTATCTGAACTTTAGGAAGTTATGATCATTTTGCTAGTGGAAGATCTTGTCTAAATGTTGATGGCTGCTAATGGATCAGGATTGTGGTTGCTGAAGATTGGGATGGCTGTGGCAGTTTCTTAAAATAAGACAGTAATGAAGTTGGTTACACAGATTGACTCTGCCTTTCACAGATTTCTCTAGCTTGTGTTGCCGTTTGATTGCATTTTACCCATGGTAGAACTTCTTTCAAAATTGGGACCAGCAGTTAGCGTAATGGCTATGTTGTTGGACTCCCATGTAGTCAACTGCGGTTCGAGTCCTGGACCCGGTGGCTTCAACTCACGCTGGGCACGTGTGCGTGCGTGCCCAAGATCTCAAGAGGAGAATGGAGGAGAAGGGATTGTCACGTGGCCATCCCCCCGGGGGGGAATTTCTCGCTTTCTGTCTCTCTGTCTCTCTCTCTGTCTTTTTGGCGAAAGTACGTGTCCTATAGCAAAAACCTCTCAAAAAAACAAAACAAAAAAAGAACTTCTTTCAAAATCAGTCAATCCTTTAAAACCCTGCCATTGCTTTATCAATTAATTTTATGTAATATTCTAAATGGCTTGTTGTCATTTCAACAATGTTCACATTCCATCTCAAAAAATCAATTTCTTGGGACCAGCAGATGGCATAATGGTCACATTGCTGGACTCCCATGTAGTCAACAGCAGTTTGAGTCCCAGACCTGATAGCTTAAAACTCATCCCAGGTGCGTGTACATGCGTGCCTAAAATCCTGAGAGGAGAATGGAGGGGAAGGGATTGCAGCATGTCCATCCCACCTGAGGGGGTGATCTTCCGCTTTCTGTCCGGGTCTCTTCAGCGAGTGCACACACCCTCTAGCAAAAATTTCTTTAAAAAACAAACAAACCCACATCACTTTTCTTCTTGTCCTTAGGAAGCAGCTCTTTATCCATTCAAATTGGGGGGTTGCAGCAGTTCAGCCACATCTTTAGGTTTCACTTCTAGTTTTCTTGCTGTTTCTTCCACATCCGCAGTTACCTCCCATGATGCCTTGGAACCCTCAAAGTCATTGTATTGGTCAGGGTTCTCTAGAGTAACAGAACCAATGGATAAATATGTATATAAATAAAACAGTTATCTCAAAATGATAGTGTTAACTTGATTGAGTTGTTTTGTTTTGTTTGGGCATGTGCACTCACCAGAGAGAGAGAGAGATGGAAAGTGAAAAATCATCTTCCAGGTGGATGGCCACACTGCTGTCCTTTCTCCTCCATTCACCCCTCAGGATTTTGGGCATGCACACGTGACTGGCATGATTTTTCAAGCCATTGGGTCCAGGGCTTGAACCCCAGCTGGCCACGGGGGAGTCCAATGCCTTAACCACCACGCCACCTGCTGGCCCCTCAGTTGAGTCTTACTCCATAGCCCATGTTCTTTTAAAACAGCGTTTTGCTGTCTTTCTGAAAAAAACTCTTGGATATCAGAGAAAGTTTCTCATTTATCTTTTATCTCTTAATTCCATATTAATGCCAACTCAAAAAATGAAATGTTACTGAATGCTTTTTCTCTCCACTCCTGATATGGGAGGAAGGGAGAAGTTGAAATGCCAGGCTATCTCCTCTCACCATCCAGTGACGTGTGATTTATAAGTTTATGTAACTTAGTCTAGAGGCATTATAGGATGGATGGTACTGTTATCAACTATTCGTCAGGCCTTAACATTTGTAAAAATAACAGTGTATAGAAGCATCTTTATGTCAGAAATTTCATGTAATTCCTGTAACAACCCCATGAAGTAATCCTCATTTTACTAGTGGAGCTGGGCTTGGAATTTAAAAGGGAATTGGATGATGTCATGTTCCTCAAACATTGGAACCCAGGTTTTGCCTTTGATCTTTTACTTTCCCATTCTGTTATATTGCTTCTTTGTAGAATACCAGAAGCCCTACAAATATCCCTTGTAGCTATAAAATAGCCTCAAAACCTTATCCACCGTGATGTCTGCTAGACTGACTCACTGTATCTTCTTTAAATAATGTGTTTTACTTAAAATTTATTATTTCGATGTGTTAAAACTATATATTTTACTGCTGATTTCTGTATATTGGATAGCAGTCTGTTCTTTTACTTCCTAATAGTTAATGATTAATATCTAAGTGGATTGATTTTCAATGGAAACTTACATATAATCTAATATTTTCTGAATTTCTGTAGAAGCTGAAGTCTCTCACCATCCTTCAATATGCAGTGGAATGTACCTCGGACTGTATTGCGGCTGACACACAAGAAGTGTTTGGAACCACAGAAAGCTGGTCTTCTTGGACACTGTCAAAACATAAAGGGACCATTACTTTTGTATCATTCTGAATCCAAAGTGACTCTGGTATCAGGCTGTCAAAAACAATGGCTACACTTACCTGCTGCCCAGTGTGTTACAAAGGAAAGGAAGCCAGTGGGTGCTCACTATAAACGATGGGAGCAAGGAGTCTTATCTAAGAGGATTTTATCATCCAGCGCCACAGCCCAAGGAACTCCTCCAGAAAAAAAGGAAGAGCCTGATCCTTTGCAAGACAAATCTATTAATCTTTACCAGAGATTTAAGAAGACATTTAGACAATATGGAAAAGTTTTGATTCCAGTGCATCTAATAACTTCTGGTATTTGGTTTGGGACATTTTATTATGCAGCCATAAAGTAAGTTTTTGCTTGGTTGAATGACTTCCCCTGTTTTATCAGTATGTTAATCTTCTTAATTATTATTATTATTATTATTATTTTGGAGAGGTTTTTGCTATAAGGCATGTGCACTCACCAGAGAGACAGAGAGACAGAAAATGAGAAATCACTCCCCTGGGGGGATGGCTACACCACAATCCCTTCTCCTCCGTTCTCCTCTCAGGATCTTGGGCATGCACGCACACACGCCCGGTGTGAGTTTAAGCCACCGGGTCCGGGACTCAAACTGTGGTCGACTAACATGGGAGTCCAGCAACATAGCTGTTATGCCAACTTCTGGTCCTGGTCTTCTTAAATATATTAATGATAGCCTTAAGTAGTTTTTAAAATGCTTTAATGTCTTTTATTTATAGGAGGATAACTACTTTTTATAGCTGTTTTTCACTCTTTTTTAGTAGTTCTTTTGCCATGGGATGCATATATTCACTGGAGAGAAAAAGAGACAGAAAAAGAGAGAGAGAAAGTGAGAATTCACCTCCCCCCCACACCCAGAGGATGACCATGCCCCAATCTTATCTCCTTCCCTCTCTTGGAATTTGGGGCATGCACACAGCAGGTTTTTTCAAGTCACCAGGTCTCGGACTCAAACCTTGGAATTGGCTATGTGGGATCCAGCACCTTAACCACCATGCCACCTGCTGGCCCGTTTTTCACATTTTAATAATAATTGCTAACATTGTCTTATTTTTAGGCATTTTACTAATTTTTAAATAGTTGCATTTAATCCTCAGAGCAACCATATTAGGCAGGTTATTCCCATTTTATGAATGAGAAAATAAAATAAGGAGAACTAAAAATGATTGATACTGTGCTTTTCCCCCAAATAACTCAGCTGTTAGGAGGTGGATCCTAGACTAACAACCTAGTGAGGTTTGTCTGCTCTCAAAGCCCACGTTTCTCATCACTATGCCAACCTCATTTCCACACTGAAGAGAGCACAGAAAGAAGATACCAGGTTTAGAAATTTGTCAGTCCTTTGAGTTTGGTACTTACACATTTCTTAGACTGTTGATAAATGTTAAAAAGCTATCCGTTTTGCCATATGTGTGGTTTTGGTGAGAAATTCATAACATGTTTGCCAGAGCTAGGCTACTACCCATTGTAGACACAAAAATGTACCAGTTACTGACCTACACTTTGATATCCCTCACTTCCGATGAATGTCAAGGTAAGGTCTTTTGTTCTGATCAGAAGTGAATCTGGGGCCCAGCAGACGGTGTAATGGCTATGTCACTGGATGCCCACGTAGTCGACTGTATTTCGAGTTCTGGACCTGGCAGCTTAAAACTGACACTGGGTGCATGTGCGTGCATGCCCAAAATCCCAAGAGGAGAACGGAGGAGAAGGGATTGTGGCATGACCATCCCCCCGTGGAGGGTAATGTGTAGAGGGGTAATTTCTCCCTTTCTGTCTATGTCTCCGAGTGCACACGCCCTGTAGCAAAAATCTCTCTTAAAAAAAAAAAATGTGTATATATATATATATATAATATATATGTATGTGTGTATATGTGTGTGTGTGTGTGTGTGTGTGTGCGTGCGTATATATATTATATATATAAGTCCGGTAGGCTTAGGCCCTAAGTATATCTTTGTTGTTAAATAGTATGTTCCATCCATGTGTCTGTTTCTCAGTGCCTCCAAAAGGCCACATGTCTATTTCTCAGTGACTGGGACTGGCATGGCAGAACTAGAGGGTGTAAACACCTCATGGACAGCTTTGATACTTCAGTAAACTCTTCCTCCTCCTCCTCTTCTTTTTTCAGAGATAATTGCTATAGGGTACATACACTCACTGGAGAGAGAGAGAGAAACAGAAAGCAAAAAATCACCCCCCCACCCAGGGGGAATGGCCATACTGCAATCTCTTCTCCTCCATTCTTCTGTCAGGATTTTGGACACACACGCACACGCACCTCGTGTGAGTTTCAACCTGCCTGGTCCAGGACTTGAACCACAGTCAGGTGGGAATCCAGTACCTTAACCACCACGCCACCTCCTGGGCCACTAAGCTCTTCTAATAGGTTGAGAATTATTTTATACTTTTCCAGAATCTGCTGATTTTCAGTCTTTGATTATACTCAGTGACTTGATACTAAGGCATTAATCAAATATGGTAGGTTTACATATAAAGTTCATTCCTTGAAAGAAGTTTATAACCTACTAAATTAAAAGTACCTATTCCACAATGATAGAATGGAAGCTATACTTATTTCTCTGAAACATGGGTTTCCAGATGCTTCTTTACAAGAATTCTAAAAGGTTGGGTTTGTTTTTAACCTTGTGTAATTGATGCTATTCTGTTTGTCTTCATATCTTTCCATTATGTTCCTGTTATTCAAATTATATCCTTCTTTTATATCATTCTTTATTCTTTTCTTTCCTTAAAAAATTTCCTAGAGGGCGTGTGTGCTTACTGTAGAAAAATGGAGAAAGAGGAAGGGAAAAATGAGAAAATAATCCCCTCAGAGGGGCTGATTACACTGCAATCCCTTTTCCATTTCTTCTTTTGGAATTTTGGATATGCATATACATGCACTGGGCATGTTTCCCAAGTTGCCAGGCCTAAGACTGGACCTATACAGTTGGCCATGTGGGATCCTGCCACCTTAACCAGCATACCAGTGGTTGACCCAAATATCATTTTCTTTAAAAATTGTACCTTTCCTTGCAGAAGATGCTTGCATGTATACTTCATAGAATTGTTTGTTTATTAATGACATTTTCTGGGCATGTGTAATATTTATAGAAATCTATAAGCTGCCCTTAGTTTTTTGATAGACATAAAATTATGTACCATTTTGAATAAAAACTATTATAGGCAGTCAGTCCTGCTATTTAATGAATGGCTTCCTAGGTATGGAATTTTCTTTTTTGAGTGATAGAAGATTCTTGTGGTTCAGTCGTCTAGAAGATGACACAGGTAATACTTGTTTCTTTTGTGTTCTAGGTTCCTCTTAATAGTCATCAGCTTCCTGGCCTTAGGAGAAATCTTGTTTTTTAACTCAGTAAATATGAGATTCTCGTTTGAGCTATTAAAAGAGTACTTCTGATCCTTTTACTTTTCTTTGCCTTCATTGGTAGAAGAATTGAAGACTCCAAGCAAAACACAACAAAAAAACAGACCCAAAACAATCTGGTGATAGTAGTTAAGATTTTTTCCTGTGCTCTCTGGCACCTGAGGCAACTGTGGATGATATTTCATCCCCTGTGAAATGCAGTTTTCTTAGTTTTACCCTGACCCCTCTTTTTGTCAGCCTGAGAATCCGGCTGCTAGACCCCCTACTGTAGCCCAGCCCTGCCTACTGGGCCAGTTCTGCTGCAGCATCACAGCTAATTTAACAGGCTGTGGTGCTTCCTTTTTAAGGTTTTGATTAGCTCCTTAATACTTCAAAAATTCGAAGTCGATTTGTTCTAAGTGAAGATCTTAATCACAAATAATACTTACAGAAAATAGAACTCATGAATGACAGAAAAGGAATTAGATTATATTCAAGTGGCAGAATCTTTTCACCGTGAGTGAAATTGAAATTGATTGTATTAAATACAGGTTTTTCAGTTCAGCTGACAAGAGGCAGGCTTTATTTTTAGCTGTCTTGCTTTGTTTTTTTTTTTTTTCCTTGAAGCTGCAGAAGGGTACTCTGTTATTTGCTTGCTGCCTACTTACTATTAAAAGAAAGGGGGAAAATAGTGCGGAGCTGGAAAGATGGACATTTGACATCACCCTGCATTACTGACCAGTGTTTGTCTTAGTTACTCTGACAGCTAACGTTACTACTTTTCTAAGCCCCAGAGAGCAAAATGTCATTCTATGTTTAGTTAACTCAGTGATAAAGTTCTGAGACATTTGAAATATTTTATTCCAGGGAGATCTAAGCCATGCATACTAATAGATTTTTATTTTAAACCAAGCTTTGTTGCCCTTCCTACCTGGCAAAAGCTTGCCGAGATCTTATGTCTTCTAGAAGTGCCCTGTTTGAGCAAACGTAGCTCAGTGATGATGGCGTTGTCCCAGGGTTAGATGTCTTGGGTGTGGGACCTCGAGTTCCTGATATTACAGATCCACTTGGACAAAACCCTGACTGATTTTAGTGCACTTCACCTAGACAGTGACTGCTTTTGTCCTAGTATGTTTCTGTGTCTGTTGAAGCATCCATGAAGCTGGCAGTTGATGAAATATGAATTCCTGTCGGACCTTGGGAACCTCAGAGTAGAAAGCGGACACACAGGCCCAGCCTGGGTGGCACAGATGGTAGCCTGCCGAGCTGCAGTGCTGGGAGCCACGTGGCCAACGTTGGGTTTAGATCCTTCGTCTGTCCTGAAACATGCTGGGTGCACTGCATGTACTCAAGATACTCAAAGGCCAGAGAAAGGGGGGCACGGCATGACAAGACCCTATTGAGCCCCCTCACCCAACCCCCATTCTGTCTTCATGCATGTGCGGTCTATCATGAATAAAATAAATAAATAAGCAAACGACAACAAAAAAGAATGCCAGCCCTTGGACGGGTGGTCAGGGGCTGCATGCACAGTGGGAGCCAGACCCCTCGCAGGCAACTGGGTTGGAGTCCCAGCTTCATCCACCTCATGCTGAGC